AATTTTACAGAAACGGTTTGCGCGAAAAAACTGAACGATGGAACCACCACCGCAGCCGAAACAAACTCGACAATTACGCGGCGTTGCCAAACTGATCTAACATAAAACAATTGCTAGATTGGTGATAAATGTCATAGATATAGCGTGCTCTAGAATAGTTCTGTCATAATCCAAATAAGCATAGAATAATATTTTGTTTATGATAAAGGTTATTCAAATTGTGATATTCCTTATCACAGAAATTATTAGAATTTGCTAAAAACGTCATCTATTTTAAGCAGGTGGCAGCATCTGAGAATAAGAACCGATTTTCTGACAGTGTTGCCACTGCCTTAACCTTTATGCTATCCATAAAAATTTGAAAATTGTATCCAAATGTATCTACCGAAAAGAGCGGACATTTTTACACAGTACATCTATGGAGGATAAACTCCGCACCTTAACCAGCTTATTAACATGTAGTCAGTATTTTCCCATAATCTAAAGCTAATTGCAGCTTTTCGACGTAATTTTCAATGGGATACCTGTCAAAAAAGCTGCAACTAACTTTAGTGTCGACTTTATTTTGATTATAACTACGGGCCTTTGTTTCCCAGATCTGTTTCTTAGAATGGGAAAATACTGACTAAAACTACGGGCCAAAGTTACCGCATGTTCAATGTTTATCACTGCGATTAGATTCTCAAAAATAATACATCCAAAAAATATTTCCTAGTCTATATGAATAATGCTAATTTAAACTAATTTTGACCTGTTACATTTAGTTCAGTAAATTGTTATTTGCTGCTATTATGGTTACAATGTTTTTCAATCAAACTGGTGGATTGGGAGCTATCTATGAAATTAAAAAATTTCTCAAAAACTTGCATTTGTCTGTAAATTCCGCCTTCAAGAAAAATTTATATTTCCGGCTTGTTTGAGTTCTCGCTTTACGACATATAAAAGAACATTTAGAAGTTATAAGTTATTTTTAGTATAGTCAAGTTATTGTTGAAAATTAGTCATCGGCATGGTTGTCAATTTCCTTTGAATGCTAAGAGAAGGGTTGCTCAGAATGTAGAAGTTGATTTTTTCGCATTACAGTGAACTACTCAGATCGGAAAATTTTTAAAATTTGCAAACTACTTGGCGTTATTAAATGAACGTTTATCTGGCTGAAAAGTTAATTTTTCAAACTGACAAGAATAAAGGAAAACTTCTTGGTTGGAGGATAAGCAGCCAACTGTTAAAAACGTTATAATAGCTCGTACATAATTTAAAAAAAATTCCTTCAACTTACGAAAACTTATGGAAAAAGGTATCCAAATTTACACTGAGGGAAACCACAAAGTTTCGCTTAAAATTTATGCGAAAATGTATCCAATTGGATACATTTTGGGGAAAACGGCAACACTGTTTTCTGACATTTCCCTTTGTGCTTCGTTTTCTTTAGTGCTGCCATATTGAGTTTCTGTGGTGCTGCTAAAAAATTTCATTGCTTAAGTTACAACTCCACACCAATCGTTTTTATGGCGTACTTTCTAAAAAAAATCATAAAAGCTCGTTCTACCATGTCCCCACCAAAAAGTTAACCATCTCAAATTGAACTTAACCACATCACTTACTATTGCTGTCCACACTGCAGTTTGAGGTTTATAAAACAGTACAAATGTAGAGAACAGTGTTCGGACTAACAAACTCGATTCAGGACTAAACGCTGCAAAAATCGGAGCAAAAACAAATTTTCCGTACTGGATTGAATTTTTTATGTTTGTTTCTGACATTAATTGTTTGACTTAAATATTTCTATGCATGCATAAATAAGAAAGCGAGGCAATGTAAGGATATTGTTACATAGTTAGGTAATTTTTAGCATTTCCTATAAAGTAGAATATATCTAACACTTAATTTTTTAAAAGCAATAGGATCTAAATCATAATTGTCAACTGTGAACGACAAGTTTTGACAGATGTATGTGAGCGTCCTTAACAATACAAATGGACGTCATTGCCTTTGCGAACGTTCACGCTCACGCTCGAATTGAACTGTATAGCAAGCTCAATGCAGAAATAGAGTTGCATTTAGGAGACGAGTTTTGTATGGGTAAATGTTTTACTATGCATTTTTTTAGTTGAACATAAGTCTAACTTAAGATTTTGCATTTCACCAACCACTTTTTGAGCAAACCTTAAGTGTAACTTAAGTTAAACTTAAGTCGCGGCCATCGGCGAGTAAAAGTAATATGTCGCAA